TTCCGCTTTGATTTTTAATAAAATAAACAATTTGAACGTTAATCAAAAAGATCTGTTATCATTGCCCTTTTCTTTTTCAAGATTTTACAATGACTCAATTTGGACTTAGATAAGAAACGTGTTCCCTTTTGGAAGAGGTCATTGAAAAGAATTTTCGGAAAAAACAAAAAATTCAGTGACATCATACGACATATTACTTAAAAATGTGACAAAATTTAATTTGATGGAATAAATGAAAATGTTTGATTGTGATATCTATGGCAAGATCATTGCCATTTCGGTAAATTTCCAAAATTCAATTCCTGTGGCGCAATATATTACTTTGTAATAAAATTGTTTAATATTGTCGAAGCAGACTTTGACTGACTATTATTTACAAATTAAATGTAGAGAATAAAATAATAATCAAAATTGCCTTGATTTATTATAATATAATAAATAGAGTATAATATAATGATTTGAAAAAAAAAAAGGTAATAAAATGTTGAGAATTGAATTTACATTTAAAATTCTTGATACTTCATCTGCTTTCTTCGTTAATCTCATTGAACTAATTCTAGCTCGTGGAAATACTTTTGCAGTTGTATATACTTTTCTGCTTGAAGACTCCAAATCTCGCCCAAAAAGAGGAAAATAACAAATACCTACACTTAATTGATTGACATCACCATCACCATCATCGTCCCAAATTCCGTTCATCAAATTTGAATCAATTTTGGTATCCTTACTAAAGAAATGTAGTTCCTCTTCCGGTTCTTGTACACTTAAACGAAACCATAATAATTTGTAAATATCTTGAACAAGTTTTGGTGCCATCGCTTCAACTTTATTTTTTTTATCAACATCATTGATTTTTCGATATTGATTCATCATTTTATTAAGTTCTTTGCTAGCATAACTTATTTGACAATTCCTATAAGTTATAGATGTTCCATCAACATTGAAACCAATCATATCATTATATCCGCGATTACTAAGAATTCCATAAATTTTTGACGAATTTTTATTGCCGCCGCATCAATAACTTTGTCAGTACCATCGCGACACTTAGAGAGAGAATTGATTAATTTTATCAGTTCTCATGTTTTTAAATTTATATCCAATTTAAGTGAGAAATCTGAACCTCGATAATTAGATAATATATAAGAAAGAAATTGCACTTGATCTAATACTTTGCATTGTAAAATGGCCTTAATAAACGGCTTATTTGGATTTTCGACGTTAATTTCATCTAAACAACCATATTCTTGCGCAAGTATTCGTACTTTTTCAATATCTATATCAATATTTGGTTTCAAATGAGTTACATAATTTTCCAAAGATTGCTGTAATTGCAAGATGTCTCGTTTGAATTTAACCGAATGAAATGATTTTGATCATCATCATCAAGACTAGTATTTGTCGCTACACCAAGTGCTGATTAATATTTAGAGGATTCTTCTCTAAGTTTAGCATTTTCTTTTTCTAATTCACTTAAGCCGTTTCCCTTATCATTTAATTTATTTTTGTAAATTATTAAGGTTCTTAGTATGTTTTTTTTTGTGTTTGTTGCAATAATTGATGGAAACTTTTCTCTTGTTTCTTATTAAGTTGTTCTAAACTCTTAATGGTTTTCTCATAATTTTCTCTCTCTTTAACAAGTTCTTGTTTCATCTTTTCTTTTTGCAATTCAAGATCATGTTTACAAGATGTCAGTTCATTTTCTAAATTTATAAGTTTTTCCTTTGCTTTTAAATTTTCACGTTTTTTATTTTGGAAAACTCTAATAAGTTTTTTTTTTCCTCAGACTCTCTGGACTTATAAATTGATTCATTCCAATAATTATCTGAATCTTTTTTTTTTTCGTTTGTTTTTTTTTTCACTAGACATCCTGGTTCTTCTCTTCCAGATCTCATTTTGGTGTTATACATAATATAATAATATATTCTTATTTTCAACCATGTGATAATTAAAATTGTGTGATATTGCTATTTGACAACTTGTCACATATGCATGTTACTAAAAAAATAATTTTGTCGCACAGCATCTGATATGTGAGATAAGTGAATCAATTTCTTAAAATTGATTTATAAAAAAATAAAATTGTAATTTAATGAAAGGATTAATTCTAATATATAAACACATGTGTACAATAACAATTCAATTTGATCATTTTTTTTTTAAAAAAATAAAAGAGGTTATTTCATAATTTTAACCATTATAAAATTGTTCTTTAATTAATTGTTATTATTCTGATACGTTATTTGTTAAAAGTTTAGACTTAAAAAAAAATTTCATATACGTATCTCGATGGAAGTTGACCTTTGCTTTGTTATGGATTGTACCGGTTCTATGGCAAGCCACATTAACGCTGCTAAAGCCTGTATCCTTAGGATAGCAGCACATATGGAAACTTTTAAACCAAGTGTTACAATTCGATTCGGTTTCTGTGGCTATCGCGACCACTGCGATGGTGTTAACCGTCTGCAGATTATCCCCTTCACTGACTCGAAAGTGCATTTCGAAAGAGAATTATCCACCGTTTCAGCAATGGGTGGTGGAGATAGTCCAGAAGACGTTCTAGGCGGTCTTAATGCAGCCGTGAATCAAATGTCCTGGCGCAATAATGTCCGTACAGCCCGTATAATTTACCATATCGGGGACTGCCCACCACACGGAACACGTTATAAAAACAGTAACGATAGCTACCCTAATGGCGACCCGTACGGTCTAACTGCAGAAAGTGTGTTAGGGGGGATGAAATCCAAACAAATCTGCTACTTTTTCGGGAAAATCACAGAACAAACTAATGAGATGATTAACATATTTCGCGGCATAATTGGAGAATTTCCAGTGTATCTTCTTAACACTGTAAATACGGAGATGTTAGTCAACAATATTTTTGATTCCACCTGTTCTGCAATCAAAACTGCTGTCTCCCTAATAGAATAGTACATCAACTCAAATTCGAATTGAAAATTTTTAAGAATTAGTATTTGCACGAATGTTTTATATTTATTTCGATTTTTTTATTTTTTTTCTTATTTATCTTCTCAAATAAATTTTTTATTATTATTACTTTTATTTATGTACAAGTTTTTGACGAAACTAAATCATGTAATCATAAATAAAATCAATTTGATTGACTAAGAATTTGATGAAAATTTTAATCATGACTCTATCATCTAAATTCCTTTGAAACCTTGCACATTATTCTTATCTCATCTCTCTCTTAAAGATCTCGAGCAATTCTATACTAATAATCAAGCTTGGATGAAGCAAATTAATGATGATCTTTATTGAAAACAAAGGTTGTTATTCGAGAAGTATTGGAATATACAGTTGAACCTCACTATAACAAATCATCATTTTTGGAGGTCACAATTCGTTATAATGAGAAAATTCGGTAACGTCTTACCAAATTTTAACAATTTGTTCATTATACAATATACTAAATATCATATTCAATCAGATTTTAATAATAAATATCTTAAGAAAATGTATATTTTAAAGCAATATTATTTAATAAATCAATTATTATTATATATATCATCCAAAATTTTATTCTCTTTCTAACGAATATTTAAACATAACTAATGAATAAAAATTGAGTAAGTTTTATTAGAAAGAAAAGTGTCTTTGAATTTCACGAAAACTGTGCAAAAAATACTAAATTTTAGTACCACGCCTATGAACTTCACTTTATTAAATAAGCAATAACAACAAATAATAACAAACATCATGTATTATGCATCTTATATGATTGTATCTGACTGTACATATTTTCACAATTAAAATTTTTGTAATTTTAAATTTACATAGTTTTCGCAGTTTTGCAATTGAAATTTTCAGCAATTTCAAATTTAAATTATAAAAATTAAAATAAATTGAATCAACTAATTAATCACCACCGATTTAATATTGATTAAACCTAGATTTGACATGTTAGACTATAGTACCTGGGTATCATACGAATTCTCGAATTTTGAAGGATACTATACTATAGAAGATACTTTGAATAAAGGAAAGAATCTTATCGATAATCTAAAATTTGACTTTGGAAATTGCAGATCATACATTTTAGACCATAACTATATTCTTACCCCTTTGTACAAACTTAATCAATAAAATCTTTTTTGCTTATTCTTTGTAATCTTTGTTAAGTTTAACAATATAGTTGTTCATCAAGGTAAAAACAAAAAGACATGAGTGATAACAAAAAAAGAAGGCAGTAATGTGCTTATGAAAAACTGCTTATAATAAATCATGCTAAACATTGTGAAAGTAAACATTTAGCAGCAAGAAGGTTTGAAGTGAAAACAAAACAAATCTATTATTGAATGAATCAAAAATCTTAACTTGAAAGTGTAGCATCATATATACAAAAGTTGCATAAAAATTAAAGTACAACTCTTTAAAACTTGAACAAAATCTTTTTAGATGAATATCTAATTTAAGTACGGATGCAAAAGCTATTACACAAAATATGATAATTAGAAAAGCAAAGTTGATTACTAAAAAAAAAATGGGTAGATCTATATCAATTATTATACAATTTAAATTTTTGAAACATATTTAAAAGAATTTATAAATAAGTAAAATCTTGTTATAAAAAAAGAATACATGTTGTGTAATCTCTTCCTAACGATCTTTTAATAAAACAACAAAATTTTATAAGTTTTATTTATATAGATGAATTTAACATGATTATTCATTAAAATACATTGTAATATAAATGAAACACCTGTTATATTTAATCTACTTTATTCAACTACTTTGAATCATTATAGCATTTCAACCATTAATATACAAACTATAGGTAATAAAAAAAACAAATTTTACTGTTATACTAGGATGTATGGCTGATAGCATAAAATTATTAGCAGTTTGTATTTTCAAGCTTATAAATATACCAATAGAATCATTTTCTTAAGAAATTTATATTCACATAAATGAAAAAGAATAGTGTAATAAACAAAAAATACTCTGGTAGGTTGAGAATGTGTAGACTCAAAATATGCACTTAGCAACCTAAGGACTTTATTAATTTTAGATTTTTTCACAAGCATCTTATAAAATCAGTTAAAAATATATTTATTGAGAAGCAAACTAATATTGCAGTGATTCCTGGCAGTCTTATAAGTAAATACAATCTTTAGATTTGCTATTAATTAAAGCTTTAAAGTAAAGTTAAAATATTACTATAATGAATGAATGAATTTTGAAATTAGAGAATTAATACCTACTGGAAGGATTAAATGACCTTCTTATACTATTATAGCTGAATAGGTAAAAAAATCATGTAGTATAGATATTTATATAATTCAAAGATCTTTCGAATTTCTATTACTAGAAGTGGAAGTGAGGATAATTTGATATTTGATTTTGATATATTACTTAATAATATAAAAAAAAGAAAAATGGATAAGATAAAGTTCAGGATATTAATGATAACAAGGATAACAATGATAGTTATAATAGCAACGATAGCAATAGTAATAATAAATGATGATAATTATAGTAACAATAATGATAGTGGTGATGAAAAAAAATAATAGTGATAAGTCTGATATAAATGAATATAAAGAACTGGAAGCTTTCTATTATGAGAATGAATATTAAATTATAAATAAATAATAAATTTGGTCATTTTTAATAAATTTAGCATAAATAAATAAATACGTAATTATTACTGCAATAATTCGCAATCTTTTTTAATATATTTGTAGTATAATATCTCCTATAATACAATACTCTATAGTATAATACTCCTAAATACCATACAAATTAATTAAAAAAATTAGAAGTCTTTATGCATAGTATCCAGATAGTTTACATCAAAATTATGGGTATAGTACTATACACTAGAAAATACTATAGTCTACCATTTACAGTAATTAATCTGAGATTTAATACTAATTAATCCTTATAAAATTTATTAAATCATTTTACATAATTTATTATATTCTTACAAATATTTAAATTATTAATTTATACATTATTAAAATTTATAATGTAATATTTCCTTTAATAGTCATACAAAAAAAATTCATTATATCCCTTACATTTAATATAAAAATTCATTATATAAAGATACTTTTTTAACAAGTCCCATTTATTATACTTGGTATAGGATTTTCAATTCATTATACATATGATAAGTTTTATTATAAAAATTCATTATATTCAATTATTTTATTTAATAAAATTCAGGATTATTCATAAAATTCATAATAACAAAAAACTTGGAATATAGAAATAGGAATTTGTTATAGTAAGCTTCAACTGTAATATTCAAATATAATAAAACTAGTACAGTATGTGCAACTTAGTTTCATCAAATAAATTGATAAATTCAAATTGCTAATCCTGCTAATCCTGGTTCAAAAAAAATGATAAATATAAATAAAACCTTAGAATAGTAAAATAGAATAAGCTTTTTAAGATCATGTTTTTAGATTTTCTGTAAACTTATTTTTTAAAAAGTAGTAGCAATTCAAATTTAAAGAATTTTACTATCAATCAGATTTTTTGACTACCTCATCATGTGATATATATGATCAATTTTACCATTTTTGATTGGTTAATTTTTATTTTTTCATTTTGTAAAATCAATTATCACGTTTATAGTGTAACTTTTTAATAAAAATAAAACATTTTCTCCTATTTTATTATGAAAGTAAAAGAATATTCAAACAGACTGCAAAATGAGTTTACATTTGAAAGAGTGTTCACCTATATTGCAAGAAATCAACAATCATACTTAATAATTCAATACAAAAGAGTGTTTAATTGCATTGTAAAGGATTGCCTGCATAATATTAGTTTTATTGGATATAAAAGATAAGTTCATTTTTTAAATTCATCTTTTAATATTTATTTATATATAATGTTTGAAATTTAGTTCATGTACCAATTTTTCTCTTTTATTTGCCTATAGCCAATATATTAAATGAAACCAATTTCTAATTATCAATTAATTGTAAAACTGAGTCAGAAATCTAACAATGCAAACGGTATTTTTTAACAGCAAATTCTGCTACTTTTTCTGTTAAACCTTTCTGATATATATTCATATAATAAAATACTTTTCTTGTATATTAGCAAATAGTTGTAAGTAAAATAGAAGTAAAAATTAATAAAATAGTTCTTTATAATCCTATTTACAAGTAATCACAATCTGACATACTAAATTTCTTGGCTATATCCCAATTGTTCTCAATGAAGATAAGCTCATAATAAAACTTAGGATAGGATATAACTTAATGTCTAGTTGCAGTAATTACTTCTTCTAATTATTCCTTTTGTGCTAAAAAATCTGGCTATTGACTTATTACTTTTTATGCTACTTCTAATTTTAATCTCTTATTTGGCCATAATTCTATTTCATTTAGAACTTGCTTTAATACTTTTGGTTTTTTACGTAATTTAGAAATGTGATAATCTAAAGAAAATATCATATCTTGTAAAATATCTCTATTAAAATACATTTTGCATATTTTTTGCTATTTTCTACTAGGATTAAGATTTATGTGTTTAGCAATAAGTAAATCTGGTAAAAAGATTGAATAGCTTGATATATTATCAAATACAAACAAGATCTGACATTTTGAAAAACATGCTTCAAATATTGGAATAGTACATTCAACTATTTGATTTACCAAATCATCAGCCTTTCACTATCCATGATTATTTTTATCTAGATATATGATGATACAATTCTCTTTAGGGAAATTATTATCTAATAATTGTATTTTATTAAAAAGTGCATAATCATTCTATCATAATGATTTTATTTATTGTTCCTTTAAAACAATATATTATTATTCTAAAGAAATAATTCTTTCTATTATTCTGATAAAATAATGTTTATTATTCTATAAGAATAATATTATTTATTATTCTTTTAGAATGATGTATAATCATTCTATCAGAATAATTTTATTTATCATTCTAATAAAATTATATTTTATCATTCTATCAAAACGATTCATTTATCATTCCTTTAAAATGATGTATTATCATTTTATCAGAATGATATTATTTATAATTTTTTTAGAATAATGTATAATCATTCAATCAAAATGATTTTATTATCGTTTCTTTAGAATAATGTATTATCATTCTATTAGAATGATATTATTTACTCTGATAAATGATTTTATTGTTATATAAGAATAATATTATTTATTATTCCTTTAGAATAATATTTAATCTTCTATTAGAATGATGTTATTTATCATTCCTTTAAAATGATGCATAATCATACCTTTAGAATGATGCATAATACTTTTATCAGAATATTTTTATTTATTATTCTGATAAAATGATGTTTTATTATTCTATCAGAATGATTCTTTTATCATTTTTTAAAACAATATATTATCATTCTATTGAATAATGTTATTTATCATTTCTTTAGAATGATGTATTAACATTCTAAAGAAATGATTCTCTCTATTGTTCTGATAAAATGATTTTTATTATTTTAAAGGAATAATTTTATTTATCATTTCTTTAAATTATGTTTAATCATTCCATTGGAATAATGTTATTTATTGTTCTTTTAAAATGATATTTTATTATTCTATTAGAATAATTTTATTTATTGTTCTTTTAAAATGATATTTTATTATTCTAAAAGAATGTTTCTTTTTATCATTTTGATAAAATAATATTTTATTATTCTATTGGAATAATTCTTCTATCATTCTTTTAAAACAATATATTATCATTTTAAAAGAACAATTTATTTATCATTTCTTTATAATGATAAAGCCATGATCTGTACTGCAGCGATCATTTAATTTAGTTGACAAATATAACAGATTGATCATATTTGACCGATAATTCATATTTATCATATTATATTACTATTAGTTTGTTTTATATAAATAGCATGTATTTTCCCTTGAGTTGAAAGATAACTCGAGATAGGGTTTTGTGAATAAACTAAGAGTTCAATAAAGATATTTGTTATTCATTTACTATTACCTTTTGCCGTGTCTTCATACAGGCGTGATTGTGATAAAGTTATTGTGATTAATTCGACGGACTGAATTATATCGTCTAAGTTTTATTTCCAGCCCTCCGGCTAACACTGGCTATTTTACAAATTATAATTATTAAATTTTCTTGAATAATTTTGAAAATGATCTCTTACGATTGGGTTCATATCCATAATCTGGATCTAAATATCTTGTAATTTCGCCAGATGCAATAACTGTAATTGTTTATGTATAATCAAAGCCTTTAAATCATTAACGATTGAATCGACTGATCTTCCTTTCATAGTTTCAGCTTTCTTAACATTGATGGACAAAATGATTTGTTCTTTAGATTCTTTATGGAGTGAGGCGTCAATTTGAAACCTTTTATTGGTAATGATTCGATTCGGAATAACGGGAATCGCACTGGCCAACTCTTTGGTTAATTTCATAAAAAATTTTTCACGTCCGTCATGATTAAGCCATTAAAATGAGTGGTCCCTTCAGGTGTCAATCGAACACTTCCATCAATGTTATCTAAAGATTTATTGTTTCATTTGTCTTCGTTTTATCTGAACTTTAGTAATCATCCGAACCTATTGAAAAGTCATTAATTTTTGGTCGAGTTAACATGATAGAGTTCTACAAAAGCACTTACCTGTTGTAAAAAACCAAACTTTTCATGTATGCCATAGAGTGATTCTTTGCAGGCACGACTCTTTACAATATCGTTATCAATCAAAACATAATATTTTTCACCTTGCATATTGAATGTACTATCAATTATTGTAACGTAAACAATGGAGGTTTCTTCGTCAACATTTACATATTCATTCTTTTCATTTTTGTTGTTTATAGAAGTGGTTTGACGTAGACTACCATCGCTTTGAAAAATTGAAATGTTGCCAGTTGATAAATCCACATTATCATAATAGTTGATTATGAGGAACTTTGTTTCTGTTGCATTGACAATTTCACCTATTACCGGATATGTGGCATTGATGTGTAAATTATTATATCCTTGATCTAAGAAAAAAAAGTATGGTAAAATTAAAAAATGTTTAAAAAAAAAAAATGAATGAATGAAGAATTGGATTTACCTTTCTCTCTCGCAACTCTATATAAATCGGTGGTGAATAAAGTCCAATTTTGTTCTATCTCCGGTTTAGGAAGTACAAGATCATTGTTTGGTAAAACTATGAAATCACCTTTAAAGTTTGTTTCGGTAGGGTTTGTAAGGTTCCAATCAAAATAAGTATCATTGTAACCTAAAACATATCCAGAGATATTAAGTTTACTAGTATCATTTGGGAATGCTTCTATCCCACTTAAGAAATAGCCTCCATAAGGTAACGCCAAAATATTATATTGATCTAATCCCGGAATTTTAAAGGTTTGAACATTATATACAGTTCCTGATGAAAGGAAATCAACTTTAACATAAAATTTATCAGTTAAAGTGAGATAACGTTTAACAGTTAATAAACAACTATGTCCAACTCCTATGTAAGCGAAACCGCAGTTGAGCGCAGTAAATTCTAATCCCGGTTCTGTAGTTTGATAAAGAACAACTTGTTCCCGTTCCGTTACTTTTTCATAATCCAAGAAAACGCCAAAGATTCCTCCCCATGGACGAAGAGGATCCATGAATTCGATAAAGTTAGCATAAATTACCGCATATCCTCCATCCATCGTTGCAACGGGTTCTATTATATGTTTCGATGTTGTAAGGTTCGTGAACTGTTCTGTAAGCTTGTTCTTTGTCCCATCTTCATCTCTTTATAATATATATATATATATATATGAATTATATGAATATATATAAATTAATCATTACATCAATTATAAATAATTAAAATTAAATTACATTATTAGGTAGTATTTGTTTTAGGCGCAACACGAAGAAATCCTTTTTTACCACCTTTTCATCCCCACTTTTATATTTATACTTTCGCCCATCAAATCAGCATGTCGCAAAAGGTTTCGAAGCTATAGATAAAATTTTTAAATTAATAGAATGTAAATAGGTCTTATTTATTATTTTAGATGATCAAGTAATTTAACTTACACTGCTAGATCTCCACTGTTTATCAGAACTTTCATTTCGTGATAGACAAATATTTACATTTTTTTCTTCTTGTACTTTCTCCGTGTCTGATTCAGAACGTTCATCTGAATGTTAGCTTGAATTGTTGATAATTGCTTCTAAGGTTGTAAATCAACAAGATTCTGATCCTTAATATCTACCATATGATAGAATCCTCTTTGCCGTCTCTCGTTTCTTTTGTAATAAAATAAATAAATAAAAGTTGGTATAATGAAATATTGTAATTAAAGAAACAGATAAATTTAATAAACTTGTATAAAATTTTCAACTTACATCTTTTTTCCTACAGTTCGTTCCAGTTCTTTGTAGTTCTTTGTTTGTTCATCTTTATTTTAAAGGATTCATTGAAGTATTATATGCATCTCTTTAATGACGATGAAGATTTTGCAAAATCTTTTTTAACTCTGTCAGTATATTGAAATCGATCTCCCAATGTCTTTTTTATAGTCGGTATAATATTTTGGTTTTATTTCAAGCCAACGTTTCGTATGATCAAAAACAACGAGTTATCAAGGCACTTTAAGGTTTGGACGACCTCATCCTACAGTAATTATTAAGTATCAAATAAGTTAGAACTTCAAATTGTTAATGACAAAGGCAGTACACAGATCACTGATATCAAGGAAAGTCACGCGAACTTTACTTGATTGATTCTAGAAATTCACATCAAAGCAATACCATTGAAACACAATGCAACCATTACTAACCCGGAAAGCCTTCTTATATTCATGATTCATTGGTTCTAAATTTTTCTGAACTTTAGTTGATGATGGATCAGGAGACAAAGAATGCTGTGTCCTTGTTTGATTTTCCTGAATACTGATTCAATGAAGAGCCTCTTTTCCATCACGAAGTTCTTTTACTTCTCCTATTAAATCTGACATAGCAATTTCTGATACAAAAATAAAAATTTTCCATATACTATTTTTACCTTCTCAATCCACATTGAGTATATATATATTAATATCAGGCCCAGTTAGTAATATGGCCATTTTTGATCAGTTTTCGTCTCTGTGCAGCAGTTAAACTTATATAAAGTCGGGTTTTTGAAAATTACTATTCCAAGAAATAAAAACGATAAAGTTTTTTTTTTTAATCACTTTATAGATAAAACTGTTTCACTTTTTTTCCATCGTGTATAAAAGTATAAATTCCATTTGTTACAAACACATGATATTTCGGTGTGGAGAAAAAAAAGTACGGTCAAAAACTTTTTAATCATTGTTTCCTAAAATGAACATCATTAACCTGCAATCTATTGTTACACGGTTGTAAATCATATATAAAAATGAATTTATTTAGGCAAAAAATATATTAATTGAATTATTTATAAAATAAGCTTGCGATTAATCCTGCCCAACTAGAGTCGATTGTGACATTCTTTTATCATAAATAAGCGTAAATTATTTCTCTTAACGAACGATAATCTTAATTATGATAAATATGCGCAGTATGTTCCGCAGAAAATTTCCGGATTTTGTTTAGAATAATTTTACCGCATTTCGCAGCAAACATATCTAATTTTTAACGTTAATATTTATTTTTTTTTTAATTAAAATACTTCATAATTAAGTTTAGTGGTGTAATTACAATAACAATCGACAGAATTTTCAAGTAATATAATAAAAAGATCGCATCAAAAGAGTGATCGTCTCTTAGCCACAATGCCACAAGTTAATTCAAAAAATTTATATTTTTGGTAACCACGAGGAGCTAGAGGGAAAAGTAATTATAATATAATTTTTAATTGTTTTACTGAACAATAAATCTCATTTATAAAATATATATATCAATTTAAATATTTTCACATCAAAGATGGGTTTTTATCACTGAAAATTCTTAATACGCTATTCCTAATCGAAAGTTTATGGTTTATAAATTTGATAATCTGATTATAATTATTCAAATTAATTTACAGTTTTAATATAAGTTTAAATATTTAGTCAAGATGGAATGTATAAAAAGTGAAAAGGTGGCACTTAAAGAGAGTTTGGTGCTACAAGATGGGATGCTCCTGCAACTTTATTATAAGTTGAATCCTGACGCTCGTGATGTTCATCATTATAATTCATAATTCGAGGCCAATCATATTTACAGCAAAATTGCATCGAACAATACTCCTTAAAGAAAATATTCACACGATCAAATATCCAAATTCAGTTGAACCGGAACCACGATTATGCTTACTAAATTTAGCTTTCTTATTGGAGTGTCTATACCTTAAATTGCAAAGAATTGCAAGCACGATTTTTTGTTATTTTTTTTCCCCATTTTTTCTTATAAAAATTAAAAAGTGGAAAAAGTTTGTGAGCGTTCTTTTCTTTTACTTATCCCTTCAACAAAAAATAATATAAAGTTACCTTTAATAAACTTCATATTTGGATGTCTATCTTTTTTTTTAGTTTTCCTCTCCTGGAAAATAGCTACAGCATGAAGTAAAAATTTTCTCCCTGATATTGTTTACTCCTAAGCGTACCTACTGGCTTAGATAACTGTTTTTTCACTTCTTTTTATCTTACGATGAGGGATACTTGGTGGTGGTTAACTTTGTCCTTTTTCCTTTCTCACGATAATGACAACTCATATTGACAAGACTAAAAAATAAAAAACAATGTTTTAGTGATGAATTTTATTTAATGTTTTATTTTCTTAATTTATTAGAAGAGACGAAAAGAGGGCTAATGTAGAGGTGGAAATATTAGGTATAACCATTTGATTTTCGTACTTTAAATTTTTTTTAATTTTCTAATCAAACAGACGAATAATGGGGGGGGACCTACCTATTGGTAGTCCATAGTGCTACAATAGTACTACTCGTGAATTCTGTTAAAGTTCATAAGGGTCTGCTTTTTCTATTGGTAGAAATCGCTATGTAACTTCCCTTATGTTGAAACTAACCAAAACAAAAATAATTTTGTTAGGTTTGTTTCGCCTTTAACTGCAATTCGCGAGTAGGTGTTCCTTTGGGATACCCCCCATTCCTTGGACCCTTAGACGGCCGACATCGATAATGTAAGTTACCTATATTTATTTATTATATTTGCTCTTTAGTCTTGTCATATGAGTTGTATTATTTTTATCCTCGTATAATAAATAAAAAATTGTGTTGATATATTATAAATAAAGTTTCTTATGATCTTTAAAAAATGTTTAATATAAATATATAAATGGTAAAATTCAATGAAATTTGAAATTAAGTTTCATATTACCTGAGAAAAAAATTTTAGTTCTAAAAATTGAAAATTTCAAATCCCTAAAAAATGAATAAATTACATTATAAATTTGCATTTTTTTATAAAAAAAGGAAAAACGATATATATAATTACAAATATTTTTATTTAAAACAAATAAAATGATATATTATATCAGAATAGTTATGTGATTTAGCAATGTTTAGTCAGATGATGCGTTCACCAGATTTACTCAAATAATGAATCAATCCATGTCATGCACCATTTTTTAGGCTTGTCTATAATCTGTGCCATTTTATATCGATAATACTTTAAGTTATAGGAAATTTTGGAATTTTGTTTATTTTGCGCTACTGGATGTGTAGAAAACCTTAAACTCATACGTTAAGCATATCAAAGCGTCTTGACAAATTGCTTATTGAAAGAACTATTGACATAAAATCATTACAACAAATTTTGAAACACTTAGGCGAAGAATTATTCAACCATCTTAACGCAACTTCAAGTGAGATGATCTCTCTGGATGGAATTGCGAGAGTTAGAAAGCTGTAATAATTTCAATCCGATATACTTTTCAAGTTTTATGAAAGATTTTATCAGACCGCTTAAGATGTGAATGTTTATTTACAGCAAATACAAAGTTTCGAGTAACACCATAAATAGCGCAAACATTGCTATTTATTCAATCAGTCTCCAAATTTTTATAATATATTTGAAATTTGTCTCCAGGAAGATGCTGCTGCTAAATGAAATAGATATAGCAAATACGTTGATACAAACTGCTTTTAAAAGATATAACGCCTTCTGTGTGCAATTTCAAGAGTGGGAAAAATTAAATGTTCAGATGCATCTTAATTTTGGAAAAATGTGACAAATTTCAATGTAAACTCGATTTAATGGGTTATGAAACTCTAGAGATAATAGATTTGTACAATCCCTTGATCACATTTCAAAATTCCTCAATGGATTGAGTGACTGAACGACTAGATAAAGTTTCATATATTTTGGATGGAAATTGATAAGTAGGTTATCTGATGCTGATGATTTTATGAGTTTCTTAAAGGAAAAATCCCAACATGACATTACAAACTTGATCAATGTTACAGAGTATAATGCAGATTAAATGGGACATTTTGATTATCAAAAGTTTAAGATTACGTGGAACATCTATGAAAAGAGCTTAAAAGATGGTGAATACATTTCTTATTTTTTATTATTTTTATTTTCTTAACTCGGGTTGGGTCAATAGAGTTGATGTTTTAAAATTTATAGGTAAGATATAATGAATCACGAAAAAAAGGTGTTATTATTTAACATTCTTCCCTACTCGTCACATCATATGTTTATTTTATATCAGAAAAGCAATTAGTTAATATAATGAAAAAAAAAATGCAGAACGTTTGAATAGATCAATAAACTGCAAAGTTCGATTACCATCTCGCAAAGATATCTTGAAATTCTTTGTTAAATCGGATGATGGATTAAAAAGAATTTTTAGTAATGTTCTAAAACAAACGCGTGAATTTGCATGTTCTAAACAACGCAGAATGTCAGATATTATTGCAAAGAGGAAAATGTTCGTTGCGGCTCTTTTTACTGACAAGTCTCGAGTTCCAAACATTATCGTGTCATCATGAATTTTTATCCCAAACTTTGGCAACACTTGATATGTACTTCAACTACTACCACTGGAAGAGCTCTAGATCTTTATCAAAAGAAGCCTTTTTGCTTCAAATAATAGGCATTGAAATCACTTATTCTGTATCGCAAATTTAGAAGAATTTTAGACGTTGAACTACAATTTATTTTAATTGATCAAATTTGAATATTGCAAGTTACAACTAATAACTTTTGGCACTTATCTGTTGCAAATTATCTGGGATGCATCACTATATTTTAGAACAATCTTTCTTAGATGTTCATTCAACGAACGGGCTAGAACACTGAAGAAATGAGAGAAATCTATCAAGAAATATGTATGTTTCGCATTAGACTTATCCGGGCAAGGTCAAACTGAGTGGATCAAAGAAGCTAGTTTGATTAAAACCAAGTACCGCGTGGCTTTTTGATAAGATTCGGTATGGATTTTGGTACACGTACATTCAAAGAATGCAAACTTCTAACCGAAAAAGTTTGCATATTAATAGTATTTTCAGACCATCCTGAAGTTAACGATGAAGAAATAAGTGTTGTAAAGAATTATTATTAGCAATAGCATCTCTGATGGAATTAAACAATCAGCTTTAAAACGAGTTGAAGTTAATTTATGGAAAGAGGTTAATTCCAACAACAACATCATGATAGCCTTTATGATTATTTGATGATCTATTTATTCATGAAAACATCGGCGGATCTTCTTGGTAATTGTCAACACACTCTTCAACATTAACACTGACTTATACAAGAATCGTTAAGATGTCAAGTGGATAAATTGTCAACTTTCAAGACTAAAGCATTTGGTAATTAAACTTTTAATTTATAACCTTTTTTTGGATAAACGAATACATTGACAAATTCGATTCTCTAGATAAAACATTTCTGGTTAGAATCAACTAATAATGTTCTAATTCTCCATGCGATGTAACTACTGACTATTTTGTATGTATAAAGCTAGCTAAATACGTGATCGAAACAATTCCAAAATGAATTCATATCAAAGAAATATCAGAACAATATGCGCTTATGAAGCATGCTTGCATCATGAGGACAACCTAGTGGTCAAGAGAAGAGAGAACAACCAAGTATTCAAGAGACGATAGAACAACATTATAACTAATGGTAATTATAAAAATTATAAAAAGGCCGAGTCAAAAACTAGACCCATATAAAAGGAATAAGAAAATTTAATTCATCGTAACTTTATTTCATTAGTAAAAATATAGTTTATTAAGTGTATGTGTAGCTTTTCTTTTTTATTTTATTTAATTTTATTTTATATGAATATACAGTATTTATTAAATTCATTTTTAAAAATCTGATTTATAACCGTGTAACGATAGATTGCTGAATAATATAAAAAGGTTAATTTGAACTAAATAAGGTTAATGATGTTCATTTTAGGAAACAATGAATAAAAGTTTTTTTTGACCGTACTTTTTTTTTCCTCCACATCGAAATTGTAATAAGTACCCGGCCTTGAATATTGATTGTAACAGCATCATGTCTTTGCAAGCTGTAGAAGAAAGAAATTAAGAAATCTTGTAACAAATGGAATTTATACTTTATACACGATGGAAAAAAAGGGAACCAGTTTATTTATAAAGTGATTTTTAAAAAAAAAACTTTCTCATTTTATTTCTTGGTATAGTAATTTCAAAACTGACTTTGATAGTATTATATACCTGTTGCACAGAGACGGAAACTGATCAAAAATAGCCATATTACTAACTGGGCCTGATATTAATAAATAAGATATATAAACTCAATATAAGCTAGTAAATAAATAATACAAATTTTTATATGTTATTTAATTATTAATATTATTAAAAATAAATACGGAATTAATGAAAACTTATCAGCAGTCATTTTTGAAATTAATTCTTCTAATCCATGCGATTGATTTTGTTGTTCTTGAGTATTATTTATTTCCTGAAGTGGATGCCGAAATGGATTTTTATTATCGTTAGAACTAATTGTTGTAGTATCAATAATCGTACTTTAATCTATTTTTTTAAAAAAAATAATTTATAATGCCAAATATAATAACAAAATATATTATGTAATTTACCATTAATCAATGACTTTATTCATATAAGTCCATCTTGCAAAGATGCAAAATGACGAAAATAAGCTGTTAGAGTTTGGATAATAGAAAATCTATGCAAAAATCTTGAAGAAAAATATGATATCTATATGGTAAGAACTACCTTTAATAATTACTCATCAAGCAATGATGTAGAATGATTGGTAATAAAGAATTTGGAGGTGAAATTTTTGGTGAAGACATTGTTGATTCTATTTAATGTAATAATAATAGTAGAATTAATATTTTAAAATTTAATAAATAATAAAATAATAAAATATTTTAAACACATTATAGATTCAAATTAGTAATAGATTTTATATAATTATCAGCTTTTATTGATTCACAAAAATTGGTTATGATTAAGAATTAGATTCATATATATTAGGCAATTAGTTAACCTATTAATATATTGATATATTAATAGGTCGACTTAGTTCAATTAATATGTAACAGAACATTATAGTATAATGTATCTTTATAGATTAATATGTAATAAAACATTATAGTCTATTTGTTTACTGTTTAGTTAACCAGATTATATTATACCTTTATATACTATAATGTATTAGAATAGATCGCCAAAAAAATTATGTTAGATAATACAGTATATTTTACTGTGAAATTTCAGTTAATTTTGGCTAGATCTAT